TTTTTTTTTTTTTTTTTTTTTTTTTTTTTTTTTTTTTTTTTTTTGGGCCCAGTGCCCGAGGCAGAAATACAAGGCAAGGGATCCAAATTCAGGGGTAGCAAGGTCTCCAAAAAACCTGCTTCATCAGGCGGAGCCCCACCCCTGTTACAAAATAAAAAGAAAAACAAAAAGAAGTAAAATAAACTCTTCAAATCGAATGTAGAAAGGAACCAAAACGAAAATCTCCAGTACAGGCATCTACTGTAGCCAAAGACGGGCAAGAAGCCCAACGTTTCCTGAACCACTGTACTCCTGCATGCAAATTTCCCCTTTTTACCCAACTTTTTCCTCCAACCCAAATAAATAATGTGACGCAGGTCTCGTTTCACACAGTATAGCACCCGTTGTAATGAAGAAGAATCATTTGATCTCACAACATCATTTCTCTGGCACCATATATGCCACAGCACTGTAGCCCTGAAAGACTCGTACACATATGCTTGTGGTTTAGATAGTCTGAGTCTCAAAGTGCCCAACAGGATTGCCTCCTGTGACCAGATATCGTCCCAATGGGCAGGAAGAGGAACATCTTCCTTCAGTTGCACCCACACAGCGCGACTGTTGGCACAAGTGACACATAAGTGTTGTTGATCCTCCACCAGATGAAGAGATGAGCATGCAGTACAAAAAGGCGATCCTTTCTTCAGGCGCTGATACAGGAAGGCTGCAGTAGGAACATCATTATGCAGAATGAGCCAAAGTAACCCTGCATGTTTGGCTACTACTAGCAAAGGCAAAAGGAGCCAAAATGTAGTCAGTCTATTATGACATAGTAGGGATTCTTTTTGCTGCCTTTTTGCCAGCCAGTGCTTTTTTAGCCCTTCCGAAACTCGTTCGCCACACAGGCTTGCAAAACGCACAAAATCTACGCCGCGTCGTCGCCACACAGCCTTTTTTTTTCTTTTTCTTTTTCTTTTTCTTTTTCTTTTTCTTTTTCTTTTTTGTGGAGAAACATAGCACTTTTCATTTCAAATGAGACAACCGGGGCCAGGGAACACACCCCTTCTCTATCCCCCTCGCCTAGCACGTAACCTTGAAGAAAGGACCGGTGCTTTGGGAAAGTGATTGGCTGGGAACAAAAGGGGACCCATCCGCATCAGCAACGTGGTTGAGCCCAGGAAGGAGGGAGAACTACTAGAAAATCTAACAACTCGCTGGTCCCGAGCTGTCCTGACAGGGTAGAGTGGTTCCGCAAGCAAAGTATATAGAGGATCAGGGTGCCACGGATCCGGTCAGACACTGGATGCATTGGATGGCCCCCAGCCCAGACATCCCCCTCTCATGCCTTGCTCTCGACCCTACAGAATGGGTGTGGAAAACAGGCGGGGCATATCGACCACGAAAGCTGCACACACCAACTGTCAAAGCAACGTATTGGTTGCTGCAACGCCGGGTGAACGTACGAGCAACCGTCAAAGACTGCTGGATCAGGCACGTGAACGTTCCCAGGAATAGCTTAAGACATGTCAAATGGTTCCAGGGACTGAACTTCACTGAAGGAAAGACCAGGCAGTGCTCAATTTGCCTCGCTGAAGTGGCAAATAGTGCACACTGTCAGGCGTCTACCCACCAACGAATGGCTTATCGTCGTTATGGATCACACCCACCTTGAGCAAAAAGGACTCTCCTTGCCTCGGTGTAAGTTCTGTCAGGAAACCTTCCCCAGCCCCAAAATTCAGGAGACCATAGACTCATAGAGCATATCTTCCTCCAATGCCTGGGCTCAGTCTTAACCTGGCGACGGTGGGATCGCACCTGGAACCAGCTGGGCACAGACCTCGACTGGCCATGGGACTGGAGGGCCCTCCTCCTTGGCACATGGCAGCCACCTGACCTCTCACCTTCGCAGCGAACCTGTTCACACTAGGCAGGACCTGTGGTGGAGGCACTGCATACATGCCGTGGAGGGGGTAAGGGTGGAGATAGCAGAAACTTCAGAAACAATCCACCAATTCATCCAATCAGAACTGGGGACTCAGTGGCTAAAAACGTCTAACAAACTGCACAACCTCACAGAGAAACAGGACAACAAAGTGTCTAATCAATGTTTTCTCTGGGGAGCAGCCCTTTTCTTCCTATTTTGGGGAACTGCATTAAGAAGGGACACTGGACCCGGTTTCCAGGGGCCTAAGCTTTTTTTTTTTTTTTTTTTGCAAGAAACAATCCCTTCAGTGCTGACGACGCTGATAAGAGCAGACGCCGTTAGCACCTGGGGATAGGCTCCATCTATTGGTGGGGAGCAGCTGGGTATTGGCCCCAGTAGTTTTTCGGGAGTATTGTGGGGTTTCCCGGCCCCGTACCCTTCAGTTTTTTTTTTTGCAAT